GCCTGCCGCCCAGGAGTGGCAGCGCAAGACTCGCTTCGTCTGTCGAGAGTACCGCCGGCAGGAGTGGCGGGGCGACCTCTTCGCGCCAGGGTCAGGCTGATCGACTTCGTGGCGCTCAAGCGGGCCTTCCAGTTTATGGCGCTGGACGCCGCTGGCGCGTTCTGCCGGGCGCCCGAGACGGAGGGCGTCGTGGTGGGCCCGCCGACCGAGTACCTAGACCAGCTCAAGGCGCAGGGCAAGAGCGCGGACGTCTACTGGGTTCCAATAGACCCTTCGCCGCAGTGACCATTCGCCGGAGTGACCTTCGGTGCTGGCCCAAAGGGGGTCGGGCGATTTTTCTCGCGGGATGAGCGGGGCTTCGCATCGGCGCCCGCGTCGCGTGATTACGCTTGCATCTGAGCGCGCCAGGTTTGGCCCGGCCCCTTACAATCGACAGCGACGCATGCGCCTCGCGCCCTACGGCTTGCACTGGTTACCCGAGGGGGGGCCGGTCGACCAGGCGGCGCGCCGCACGGCCCAGGGCCAGTGCCGAATCCCAGTCCGAATTCCAAACATCTGGCTTGGATATCTTTGGATATGTTTGGATATCTTTGAATATCTGATTATTTTTTGAATGTGTTTTGCGGGCCAATTGGGATCTTTACTGCTACTTAGTTCCCTAAATCTATTCAAACATTCCAGGCTCTCGGATGGGGCTGGTTCTGGCCATGGCGCTGGGCCTGGTCAGACGTCGTCGCGACGCTGCCCGGCCGTGCCAGACCTCGTCGCGGCGGCCCCCGGCAGCGTCTGATTTCGCGGCGCCTTCGAAGCACCGTTCGGGGAGCTCGAGTTCAATCGGCGGAATTCCGCGCTTGCCCGCTGGCAGAAACAAATTCCCGAGTGGTGCCCGACGATCGTTGCTGCGGCGCGGCGGCGCCGGCTTGCGCGATTGCGCTGGGCCCCCGCGGGCGCCCCTGAAGCCGCGCGCCAAAGGTAACTCTGGCCCAGGGTCACTCCGACGCGTTGTCGATGGAAGCTCAAGAAGCAGAGGGATGACAGGCGCGCATGGCGGCCCCGGGGTTCACGGGCCACGTGGAGGGGATGCTGGCGGGCAGGATGAACATGAACAGGTGCGGGGTGGCCCCCCAGTTCTTCTGCGACTTCGAGCGGGAGGTGATGGTCGAGCTGCGCATGAGCGATCTCCGCCTGGCTAGGAGGAGAGAGAGAGAGAGAGAGAGAGAGAGAGAGAGAGAGAGAGAGAGAGAGAGAGAGAGGTGCTGGGCGCCTTCCGCGACGAGCTCAAGCTGCTGGGCGCCTTCTGCGGCGGCGAGGCCCACTTGCTCGGCGTTGCCTGCGAGCGCCTGGGGCGTCTCAGGGCGAGGTTCGAGCGCGGCGCGGAGCTCCGGGCGAACCTGGGGCACTTCGGCGACGTGGTGGAGACCTTCGGGCTCGGAGCCTCGAACTCGGCACCGACGCCGGGGTTTCCGGCGCACAGGGCGCTCGCGGGCTCCACTTCTTTGCTGGCCCCAGAGCAGGCGAACGTCCACCGCTCGCGCGCGGGGGCGCTGATGTATTGCGCGCGGGGCAGGGCCGATGCCCAGTGCGAGGTCAGCCTGCTCGGCAGGATGCTGTCGGGCCCGACTGCGGGGGCCTTCGCTGCGCTGAAGAGGCTGGCCAGGTACCTCATGGGCGCCCAGAATGCGATGAACTGGCTGCCGATGCCTGATCTCGTCGGCGCGAACGTGGAGCTGATCCGGTACGCGGACAGCGACTGGGCGGGCGACCTGCAGACCAGGAGGTCCCAGTCGAGTGGCAAGATCGAGATCGACGGGGTCCCGATGCAGTCATTCAGCTGGCGCCAGTCCATCACGGCGACGAGTTCTGGCTTTGCCGAGTACTACGCGGCAGCCGCGGTGGCGGAGGATGCATTTTTCACGGCTTTGTGTGAGTTCGTTGGGTTCATCGTGCCGGCGACGCTCTTGATTGACTCGTCGGCCGCCCGAGGGATCGCGCGCCGCGGGGGCGTTGGCAATTTCAGGGGCCTGGGGGCGCGGGTGCTTTGGCTCCAGCAATCAAGCGCAAGCTCATGGACCTTGGCACGGCCAGCACGGATATTCGGAGTGGAGGTGTTCGAGAAGTTCAGGCTCGCGAGCGTCATCTACGCGGGCGCAGACCGCGAGCTGCAGTCGGAGCGCCAGGACTGTGGGGGCGGTCGCGCGGGCGGGTCGAGCCCGCTGGCCGGGCGCCTGGGTGCCTTCCCGCGACCGCGCAGTTGCGCCCGCCATGGTCGCGACAGCGGCGGCTCTTCTTGCCGCGGACGGAGGGCGTCGCGACTGACGGTTATTACTACGACAGCGAGGCCTGCCCTGTGCATTCAGCTGCTGAGGCTAGCAGCCGGGGGTTCCATATTGCATTGGATTTTGTCTGGACTGCGGAAGTGGTGGCAGTCAGCGGGCGAGTATGACACTGGCTTGCCAAGTCTCGAGTTTTAGAGGGTCCTCGAACCAGACAGCTTTTGCGTGGGCGCTAGTTGTAGAGAGCACGAGCCCGACGGAAGAGACTGGGTCGCATCGTGGTGTGGCCACTCGGTGAACAGTCACGCGGAGCTTTTTGAGAGGAGCATCGACGTTGGGGTCGAAATGCCTCCAACATGTCACATGCTCGTACAGGGCCAGAGGACGGGCGCTTTCCTTTTGGAGCTCAGGGTTGAAGGGCCTTGAGCGGCTGCGTGATTCTGAGCTTCAGTCGAGAGTATTTGCACACATCTGTGCTGAGCTGTTTTTGGCCCCTTGGATGCCCTGCGCTACCAATGTGAGCTAGAGATCGTTTATAGCATGAGGGACGCCTCATCAGTGCGTGAATCGAGTTTTTTCCCCCCGTCGGAGTTCAAATCCCGACTCGGCACCCGCCTCCCGCTGCCCCCTCTCGCTGCCCCCTCCCTCGTCCTCTCGCCCCCCTTCACCTTGGCACACTCCTCACACGTTTCGTTGGCCCATAGGGAGCCCCACCGAAGGCCCAAATGCCAGCGTTCGCATGCGGCCACCGCATTCATTTTGGCACACCCCTCACGCGCTACGTGGCCCCATAGGGAACCCCACCGAAGGCCCAAATGCCAGCGTTCGCATGCGGCCACCGCGCCCATTTTTGGCACACCCCTCATACGTTTCGTGGCCCCACAGGGAACCCCACCGAAGGCCCACATGCCAACGTTCGCATGCGGCCACCGCGCCCATTGTTGGCACACCCCTCACACGCTTCGTGGCCCCATAGGGGGCCCCACCGAAGGCCCACATGCCAGCGTTCGCATGCGGCCACCGCACCCATTCTGGCACAATCCTCACGTTTCGTGTCCCCCATACGGAACCACACCGAAGGCCCAAATGCCAGCGTTCGTATGCGGCCACCGCGCCCATTTTTGGACACCCTTCATACGCTTCGTGGCCCCATAGGGAGCCCCACCGAAGACCCACATGCCAACGTTCGCATGCGGCCACCGCGCCCATTTTTGGCACACCCTTCATACGTCTCGTGGCCCCATTGGGGGCCCCACCGAAGGCCCAAATGACAACCTTCGCATGCGGCCACCGCACCCATGTTGGCACACCCTTCACATGCTTCGTGACCCCATAGGGAACCCCAGTGAAGGCCCAAATGCCAGCCTTCGCATGCGCCCACCGCGCCCATGTTTGGACACCCTTCACACGCTTCGTGGCCCCACGGGGAGCCCCACCGAAGGCCCAAATGCCAGCGTTCGCATGCGCCCACCGCGCCTTTTTACACGCTTCGCGGCCTCATGGGGAGCTCCACCGAATGCGGTGCATACACCGGCTGCACCCACAACTGCATACGGTTGGGTTCCTCGCCAGGCTGGTTTGTCGCGTCGCCGCTCCACGGAGGCCTGGGCCTTTCTCCAGGAGCCAGCCCGGCATCTTGGGCAGTTTTCCCATTGCCCGGGGAGCCGCGGCGAGGCCAGTGAGGGCCCTTGGAGGCAAAAACGAGCAATCCATTTGTGACATCTCCAAAGTGCGAGGATGCATGGGCTTCCTGCCTACCTCTGCCTTTGCTTCGGGAGAAGAGACATGTTCACCGTGACCAAGATGTCCCAGGGTTCTGCCAACGTCAACCTTGGCCATGGCCCATGCCAGCCGTCGCGGATTCGCGAGGATCATCTGCGAATTTACGATGTCCAAGACGGACGATTCGAACGGGGTTTGGACGAGGATAATCCATTCCAGAGCGTTCTGGAACGCTGCCACAGCGCTCCAGAGCACTCTGAGAAGACCGCGGCGCCCGAGACATCCTCCAGAGCCGCCAGATCTCAAAGATTCCCGAGGTGTCCCCACCCGATTTTCATCCTCGCCCTGGCGTTTTTGACGAGGACCACGACCGACGCAGGCGTTTCACACGGTTCAGTCTTGGCCATGGTCTTCGTTTTCTCATCCCCCGCTTCGCCTGCCTGCCTTGCGGGGCCCGCCCGCACGCGGGCAGCAGTGGGCCATCCCTCGCGGGGCGTGTGGCGTCGCATCGCGTCCGGGGCGAGTTCGGCGCGCCGGGGGGCCGCGCGGAGTGGAATGGGGTGGGGGGCTGCCACGAGCGGCGAACATGTCCGTATCCGCGCCCTCGATGCCTGGATTCCGGGACGCGGCCCCGCGGACGCGCGGTCGCGCGGGCACGTTCCGCGCGGGGCATCCGCGAAGAGACGCCCCGTGTCCGCGGGTTCGCGGCCCAGGGGCCCGGCCTCGCGAGGCCGCGGATACGGAGGAGGAGGAGGAGGAGGAGGAGGAGGAGAAGGAGGAGGAGGAGGGGGAAGAGGAGGAGGAGGAGGAGGAGGAGGAGGAGGAGGAGGAGGAGGAGGAAGAGGAGGAGGAGGAGGAGGAGAGGAGGAGGAGGAGGAGGAGGAGGAGGAGGAGGAGGATGGGTTTGTCGCCCACGAGGGCTTGCTGATCACCTCCGTCGTCTGCACGGCTCGTGGGGCCCCCCCGCCGCCCCCGCCTTCCCGCCCTTGCCGCCCTCCCGCGCCTCGGCGCGGCCGCGGAGGCGTCCCGCACGCGGCCGCCGACCACCTGCAAGTGGGCCCCCGCTGTCGCCGTCGCCGCTGCCGCCGCCGTCGTGGTCGTCTTCGTCGTCGTGGTCGCAATCGTGGTCGGCGTCGTCGTCGTCGTCGTCGTCGTCGTCGTCGTCGTCGTTGCCGTGGTCACCGTGGTCGTCGCTGCCGTCGTCGTCGTCGCCGTCGTCATCACCGTCGTCGTCGCTGCCGCCGTCGTGGTCGCCTTGGTCGTCGTCGTCGGCGTCGTCGTCGTCTTCGGTGTGGCTCGACGTCGTCGTCACCCTTGCCTCAGTCGTCGTCGTGGTGGTCGTCGTCCTTCCCTCTTCTCTCCCCCTCCTCCCCTTGTGAGCATGGCTGGGAGAGGGCAGAAACGGAGGAGGAGGAGGAGGAGGAGGAGGAGGAGGAGGAGGAGGAGGACGCGGGCGGGGTGAGGGAGGGGGGAAATGGGGCGAGCGGGGACGTGACAGACGGGGGGAGTGGACAAGCGAGGTGCGCCCGCGCCATATCTTACACCCTACCCCTCCCACCCATACATTCCCACTTCGCGGCCAGGGTGTCCTAGATGGCCTTCATTCCCAAAGCGATCCCATCGTGTGGTGCGCAGTCGAAGAGGGAAACTCTGCGCATTGGAGCAAGAGGCGGCGGATGTCCAGGAGGATGAGCAGGAAGAAGAGTACTATGATAGTAAATGAGGGACAGCAACAGCAGCAAGAGGAGTAGGAGGAGCAGAAGGGCCCTGCGAAGGCGGAGGACGGAACACGAGGGACATTGCAACGACGAGGAAGCACTCAGATCCATGACTGCGGCCCTCGTTTGGACGAGAGCGCACATCTTCACGACGGGAGCAAAGCGGCCAACGCTGTCCAACGCGGCCAAGGCTGAAGTGGGAACACCTGTTTTGAAGAACCCACTTACAAAAACGCACGTTGGAAGCAAGACATAATGCGGGAGGGAGGGCACCCCCGCGCAAGGCAGCATCGGGGAGATATTATATTCATATTGTGTGATATTGAGTGTTAGGGAGAGCGAAGGAAAGAGACAGAGAGAGGGGGAGAGACAGGGATGGGAAGTATAAGCATAGAACATGAGTGGAGATGGGGGATGGGGAGAGAATGGGCTGAGGATTTGGCGAGGCAGGAGAGGGAGAACGAAAGCGGGGGGAGGGGGCGAAGCGGGAGGGCGTGTGCGGGGCCCGGCGATCCGAAGCCAGGTGGTGGCTGAAGGGCACCTGCAAGTTCGGCGACGACTGCAGGTACAGCCACAGAGGAGCCAGGGAGGGCGTTACACCCACCTGCTATCCAACCGCCCAGCCACCATGACAGACACTTAGCCACGGAGTGTACAGCCAAGACACTGAAATATGGAACCGTTCGAGTTGGGAAGGGGCTCGACATTCCTTACATTGAGTAGGTCCGTCCATGGCTATTTCTCCAGCGTTCCTCGTCCACGCAGGCGGGTTTGGAGTCAAAGGAGGGGCTTCGTTCCTTATTTGGCGTTCCTTCTTTCAGCGGCCCGACTGCAATGTGTAAGCCCCCCGCAGCGTGGGAGACGCGGGTGGGCGGGTGGGGGCGACCCCTTCTCCCCGCAGTGGGCCATGCCAGACGTTCAGCTTCGAGCAGAGGCCCGCCGCAGGCGCGGCTTTTTCCCGTCCACGGTGCGTGCGTTCCTGCCCACCCGCACTTCAGAGGAGGAGAAGGTACAGTCAAAAACCCTAATAAGGACGCGCGGCTTTGCTCAGGGTACCCTTGCGTCCTTGCTCTTCCTCGCTCTTGCGTCCTTGGGGTTTTCGTCGTCCGCCGCCCCAAAAATCCAAACTTCGGCTTCCAAGGGTCTTGCGTCCTTACCGCGCGTCCTTCTTAGGGTTTTTGACTGTACCCATACCTCTACCCCCCGCCCGTTCTCCCGTCTTTGGGCCTTCTTGGGAGGCCCTCGTCGCCACCGCTGGCTTCGCCTCGACATCCTGGTCAGAGCTCACCCCGGGGGAGGTCCCGGGAGTAGTGGTATCGGTACCTTTTGGTATCCCCAGCATTGGGATCGGCGCAGGGGTTGCCAAGGGAATCGGGGGGCTACTAGCAGATGCAACGGTGTGTTTTACCGGCCCAAACTGCTTAGCTTATATCAGGGGGCTGCTGATGCTCCACATGGCTCCGGGGGTTGACGATGCTGGCGAAGTGGGCTCCGCCCGTTTAGAGGAGTCGTCTACCCCCAAACCCACTCGGGGCAGTTGTGACCCACTCATAAGTCAAGCTAGGCCAGAAAATGACAACCACTGATCAATCCCCCATTAACTTTAATTAGTAGTTCCCGCAACGATCACATCAGGCACCGATCTATGGTGTCGGAGCATCTCGCCGCATCGCCGATGCATCGAGGATGCGGGTCGATGCGGAGCCCGATTTTCTCTACGCCGACGTCGCCGATGCATCTCCGACGTCGGCGATGCATTGGCGATGCGGTGCGATCCTTCGAACCCATGTACTCGGACCCCATCTAGGAGGCCTCTAGCCAATTCGAGGAGGGGTTTTGTACGTAGCACCCCGCAGATGCGGATACGAGTGAGGGGGCGGCGGGGACGTCGGCAGTCTGCGAGGCTCTGAAGAAGCCTGCCGCGGGCGCACAATTTTGACAAGCAAGACAACGAGCCCTCCGCAGGCGCCGATTTTTGTTAAAGCAATGTGGGTGGGTCGCGGGTGGGTGGCGGGCGGGTCACGGGCGAGGTCGCGGGTGGGTTGCTGGTGCGTCGCGGGTGGGTCGCGGGTGGGTCGCGGGTGGGTCGCGGGCGGGTCGCGGGCGGGTCGCGGGGTGGGTCGCGGGTGGGTCGCGGGTGGGTCGCGGGTGGGTCGCGGGTGGGTCGCGGGTGGGTCGCGGGTGGGTCGCGGGTGGGTTGCGGGTGCGTCGCGGGGTGGGTAGCGGGTGGGTCGTGGGGGGGACGACGCCAAACAACAACAGCAAAACCAGCACCAACAACAACAACAGCAACAGCAACAGCAACAGCAACAACAACAGCACCACCACCAGCAACAGCACCAACAACAGCATCAACATCAACAATAACAACAACAGCAACAACACCAACACCGACACCAGCAACAACAACACCAACACGACCACCAACAGTAACACCAACGACACTAACACAATCAACACCAACACCAACAGCACCACCACCAGCAACACCGCCACCACCGGCAACAACAACACTAGCAACAACAACACCAACAACATCAGCATCAACAACGAGAACAACAGCAGCAACAACACCAAGAACAACAACATGGCAAACACCAATAACAACAAGACATTGCATCGCATAATCCCACTTCAGCCACGCACCCAGGGACAGTGAATGACCGTTCGGACCCCTCACTCTGACATCAACCGCTGCCTTGAGGATGGATCTTCGGGGACCTCGGCAGGCGGTGGGCATAGATATTTTCGGCCCCCTTGGGGCCCATTCATTTATTTTTATATATACATATAACAGGGGACCGGGGCCCAGGCCCCCCGGGGCCGCGACCTCTGTGTGTGTGTGTGTGTGTGTGTCTGTGTGTGTCTGTGTGTGTCTGTGTGTGTCTGTGTGTGTCTGTGTGTGTCTGTGTGTGTCTGTGTGTGTCTGTGTGTGTCTGTGTGTGTGTGTGTGTCTGTGTGTGTCTGTGTGTGTGTCTGTGTGTGTGTGTCTGTGTGTGTGTGTGTCTGTGTGTGTCTGTGTGTGTGTCTGTGTGTGTGTCTGTGTGTGTCTGTGTGTGTCTGTGTGTGTCTCTGTGTGTGTCTGTGTGTGTCTGTGTGTGTCGTGTGTGTCTGTTGTGTGTCTGTGGTGTCTTGTGCTGTTGTCTGTGTGTCTGTCTGTGTGTCTGTGTGTCTGTGTGTGTCTGTGTGTGTCGTGTGTGTGTGTCTGTGTGTGTCTGTGTGTGTCTGTGTGTGTCTGTGTGTGTCCGTGTGTGTCTGTGTCTGTGGGTGTCTGTGTGTGTCTGTGTGTGTCTCTGTGTGTCTCTGTGTCTGTGTCTGTGTCTGTGTCTGTGTCTCTGTGTGTGTCTGTGTCTGTGTCTGTGTCTGTGTCTGTGTCTGTGTCTGTGTCTGTGTCTGTGTCTGTGTCTGTGTCTGTGTCTGTGTCTGTGTCTGTGTCTGTGTCTGTGTCTGTGTCTGCGTCTGTGTCTGTGTCTGTGTCTGTGTCTGTGTCTGTGTCGTGTACTCGTATGCTCTGTGTCTGTGTCTAGTGTCGTGTCTGTGTCTGTGTGTCGGGCCTCTCTAGACTCTGTGTGTCGTGTCTCTGTGTCTGTGTGTCTGTGTGTCTGTGTGTCTGTGTGTCTGTGTGTCTGTGTCTCTGTGTCTCTGTGTCTCTGTGTCTCTGTGTCTCTGTGTCTCTGTGTCTCTGTGTGTCTCTGTGTGTCTCTCTGTGTCTCTGTGTGTCTCTGTGTGTCTCTCTGTGTCTCTCTGTGTCTCTCTGTGTCTCTCTGTGTCTCTCTGTGTCACTCTGTGTCTCTCTGTGTCTCTCTGTGTCTCTCTGTGTCTCTCTGTGTCTCTCTGTGTCTCTCTGTGTCTCTCTGTGTCTCTCTGTGTCTCTCTGTGTCTATCTGTGTCTCTCTGTGTCTCTCTGTGTCTCTCTGTGTCTCTCTGTGTCTCTCTGTGTCTCTCTGTGTCTCTCTGTGTCTCTCTGTGTCTCTCTGTGTCTCTCTGTGTCTCTCTGTGTCTCTCTGTGTCTCTCTGTCTCTCTCTGTGTCTCTCTGTGTCTCTCTGTGTCTCTCTGTGTCTCTCTGTGTCTCTCTGTGTCTCTCTGTGTCTCTATGTGTCTCTCTGTGTCTCTCTGTGTCTCTCTGTGTGTCTCTGTGTGTCTCTGTGTGTCTCTGTGTGTCTCTGTGTGTCTCTGTGTGTCTCTGTGTGTCTCTGTGTGTCTCTGTGTGTCTCTCTGTGTGTCTCTGTGTGTCTCTGTGTGTCTCTGTGTGTCTCTGTGTGTCTCTGTGTGTCTCTGTGTGTCTCCGTGTGTCTCCGTGTGTCTCCGTGTGTCTCCGTGTGTTCTTGTGTGTCTCTCGCTGTGTCTCTGCGTGTCTCTGTGTGCTCTGTGTGTCTCTGGTGTGTCTCTGGTTGTGTCTTGTGTGTCTCTGTGTGTCTCTGTGTGTCTCTGTGTGTCCTCTGGGGTCTCTGTGTGTCTCTGTGTGTCTCTGTGTGCTCTCTGTGTGTTCTGCCAGGTTCCTGTGTGTCTCTGTGTGTCTCTGTGTGTCTCTGTGTGTCTCTGTGTGTCTCTGTGTGTCTCTGTGTGTCTCTGTGTGTCTCTGTGTGTCTCTGTGTGTCTCTGTGTGTCTCTGCGTGTCTCTGTGTGTCTCTGTGTGTCTCTGTGTGTCTCTGTGTGTCTCTGTGCGTCTCTGTGTGTCTCTGTGTGTCTCTCTGTGTCTCTGTGTGTCTCTGTGTGTCTCTGTGTGTCTCTGTGTGTCTCTGTGTGTCTCTGTGTGTCTCTGTGTGTCTCTGTGTGTCTCTGTGTGGCTCTGTGTGTCTCTGTGTGTCTCTGTGTGTCTCTGTGTGTCTCTGTGTGTCTCTGTGTGTCTCTGTGTGTCTCTGTGGGTCTCTGTGTGTCTCTGTGTGTCTCTGTGTGTCTCTGTGTGTCTCTGTGTGTCTCTGTGTGTCTCTGTGTGTCTCTGTGTGTCTCTGTGTGTCTCTGTGTGTCTCTGTGTGTCTCTGTGTGTCTCTGTGTGTTTCTGTGTGTCTCTGTGTGTCTCTGTTTGTCTCTGTGTGTCTCTGTGTGTCTCTGTGTGTCCCTGTGTGTCTCTGTGTGTCTCTGTGTGTCTCTGTGTGTCTCTGTGTATCTCTGTGTGTCTCTGTGTGTCTCTGTGTGTCTCTGTGTGTCTCTGTGTGTCTCTGTGTGTCTCTGTGTGTCTCTGTGTGTCTCAGTGTGTCTCTGTGTGTCTCTGTGTGTCTCTGTGTGTCTCTGTGTGTCTCTGTGTGTCTCTGTGTGTCTCTGTGTGTCTCCGTGTGTCTCTGTGTGTCTCTGTGTGTCTCTGTATGTCTCTGTGTGTCTCTGTGTATCTCTGTGTGTCTCTGTGTGTCTCTGTGTGTCTCTGTGTGTCTCTGTGTGTCTCTGTGTGTCTCTGTGTGTCTCTGTGTGTCTCTGTGTGTCTCTGTGTGTCTCTGTGAGTCTCTGTGTGTCTCTGTGTGTCTCTGTGTGTCTCTGTGTGTCTCTGTGTGTCTCTGTGTGTCTCTGTGTGTCTCTGTGTGTCTCTGTGTGTCTCTGTGTGTCTCTGTGTGTCTCTGTGTGTCTCTGTGTGTCTCTGGGTGTC